ACGCTCAACTGACTGAGCTAACCGGCCCCCCGAAGTGGGTTTGTCATTTACATGGGAGTGGCCAAAGTCCTCAGAGTCTGGAAAAATATGTCTAAATAACCAGCATTAGTGAGATTAGATCTAAATTAAATGTGCTGCCATGTTCCATGTCGGATGCATTAAAAAATACCATAGATAGTTTAATCCTCTGAAGAGCCAGACTGTCACCCGACTGTCACTGCGTTCAAGTGGGAGAATTCTCTAGGCTCGAGCTGACGCTGCAGCGTCACCAAGGGCGGGCTTTCAGTATCGCTGAAATTGCCAAAGCAGACCAACCCAACAGCTCTGAATTCTGGTAGTCCACCAGCGGCCGGAATCATCTCCTGGGGTTGCTCACCCGAAGAGAAGGCTCCAGGAGGCCTTCGAAAATCATAAAGATGGAGACAGTCTTTGTAGCAGGGCCTGTTGTGATAATACAAGGGGTAATGTTTTTAAACTAAAAGAGGGTAGATTTAGACTAGATGTAAGGAAGACATTTTTTATGCTGAGGGTAGTGAAACACTGGAACAAGTTGCCCAGAGAGGTGGTAAAAGCCCCATCCCTGAACACATTCAAGGTCAGGTTGGACAGAGCTCTGAGAAACCTGATCTAGTGAAAGATGTCCCTGCTCACTGCAGCAGAGTTGGACTAGATGGCCTTTAACAGTCTCTTCCAACTTCAGCACATTCTGTGATTCTATTTTAACTCCACTGAGGCTTTATCTAGACATACAGCTATTATAGCATAATAAGAGTGGCTTTTAAATACGCTGTATGTAAAACAATGCCAGCTTTTATTTTGGACATAAAACTATCACTGTAACCCAGGACAGGTTAAAATTAATGACACAGGTTGAACCGTATGTGCTAGTTTTATACCTAATGGCATGTATCCAAGAGTTTGCACTGGTTTGAGTTCATTTAGATTAAACACTTTATTGGAAATGTCACACAAAGGGAGAGGTGGTGAAAGGCATCCATCTAATTACTGTACTTCCCAGAAGGAGGACCTTCCTGCTGTGGCAGGCTATATGCAATCATAAAGATGTCTATGCTGAGATGATTATTTTGAAAATCTTGCACACAACTAATCGATCTAGCCTTTAAAAGCAGGCTCAAAGTACCAATAAACCATGTTAGATAGTACTGAATTTTAGACACAGTGCAGAAATGTTAGAAAAGCCAAAAAACAGTCCAGCTGTGCAGAATATATACTGACTTAGTATATTGTTCTCTTTATCACTCATGCTAAACACATTTACTGTCATATATTCACACACACTCTTCATGTTTTTAAAATCTACAAATACTGAAAGAGTCCAGTAGGGGGCCAGACATTACAGTCTTTAATCGTAAAATCTAATAGTCAGGGTTATCCATACAGATCATACTTCTTTTAATGCACAATGCTGTAAGTTTTTGTAAAACTACGTCACAGCACTATCTCCCTCATCTTCTTACACACAAACCACCAACATTTAAAATCAGCTTATAGTGTCCAATTCCCCTGCAATTTGCTAGCAGGTACCAGGTATCTTTACTATCATCTCTCTGAAGTGGGAAGACTTCAGAAAACCCATACAAATGGATCACGGCTTCTGGACCGCTGTGAAAATAAGCTAAATTATATGTATGTAAACTCGCCCCGATGAATTTGCCATCATTTTACTATCTAAAACTTTATATAATTACTTGCTACTAGGCCTAAATTGGCCAAGCACTTGCCTGTGTCTTTAACGCTCGCATCACACAGGGAAATCATCCATGACCTGGGACCGTGAAGGAATGTGATGCATAAAACCAGTATTGCCCCTCTTGTTTTAGCTATGATGGAACTTGGCTCTGCTAGTCAATTAAAAGTATTCTGCTGTAAGAGTGTAAATATGTGTATTGTGTGTGCCAGCTGTGTCATTTCTCCAGACCATAAGTACCACGTGTTTGTCCTTACAGTGCGTTTGGTGGAGCAGCAGGTGCACACTTACTCCTCAGAATTACAGTTGCTCAAGACAATGTTAAAAACTGAGACAATGGCAGTCATCTAACAAATATAAACAGCCCACCCAACCTCTTGCATTAAAGCTGTGAGATCAGCAGCACCAAGGATCCTGCTAGTTTGACCAAGTATCTTTCAGCTACTTAAGATTGTGTATTTAAGTCTTTCAGACTGTTTCCATAGTATTATAGCAGTAGGCTAGCTACCCTTCAAACAGAACTTCATGATCCAGACCTTCAGCAGTTAAGATATACGTGTGCACTTTTAGTGTTTGTTTGTCTTTTGGTTGTTTTTTTTTGTTTTCCAACAATGCTAACAGTGTGCTGCTTCACTCATGGTTTCATAAATACACTTCACTAGAAAGGGCGGCTGAACTGAAATCCTATTCCAAACATCACTGAACTTTTGTACTTTTTTAAACTGAAATTCAAAGCACACAGCATCATGACCAGAACATAAATCTTCCATGCAAAAGCTCTGGGTTCTTTTCACTTTTACTTCATTATCTGTCACTTCATTCTAAAGAGAAGCAGTGAATCTGAAGAGTGTTTGACATATTTTATTATAAATGGTTATCAATGCAGGACCAAAGTCATCTTTATAAATATCTACAAAGAGCACAAATGCAGGTTAAAAAACATTTTTTAGCACGAGCAGAGAGCTCGTGGCTTTCAGTTTTTACTTTCTATAATGTTTCTTCCCCTACATTCTTAGGAAAGAAATAATTTTAAAAGGCTTCTTTTTCTTAAAGTTTGTTTTTTTAGTGTTTTTGTTTTCCACTGTGAAAATAAAGCTCTGTTGATTTATTAAAGAGAAAAACAGAAAGGGTGTCATATGACCTTTTTGTCCAGTTGATCTGGAATAATTCCACTGTACCGTGGTTTTAATGCTCATTTAACTGCAAATGGAAACTAGTCTAAGGCACTTCACAACTCCTACATCTTCCGTATTTTGGCACCATTGCCTGTACACATCAGAGCCGGCGTGAGGACTAAGTCATAAAAACTTCATTCCTGTCCATACTGGAGAGTTGCTCTTCCCCAGAGTCCAGGTGAAAGTGCGCTACAGTCTCACTTCCATTACAGCTCTGCAGAGGATTTTGTACCTTGCAAGCTGCCCCCTTTCCTGTAATCCCAAATCATTCAAACAATCTCATATACAGAACAGCCCCAGCTGTTGCTGTTCTTCTTGATCAAGAAATTAATTCGGGACTGCCAGCAGAGACTTTAGCAAGCCTCTAAGCACATCACTTTAGACTTGACCATTACAGACAAACGCTGTTGTGTAACATGAGAGTTATTTGTCCCCCACAATCAGGTAAGAGCCTATCTTCTCCTTCTGCTTTAAGAGAACAGAGCAATGCCCGTTTGGGGGGTGTGTGCATGCACGTATGCTGGAGCAGTGGGTAGAGTTGGAGGACAGGCAATATTGCCCTAGTGGTTGAGTACTCTAGGCTATTATTTTCTAAACAGAATTTTCCTCATCAATGTGCTATTTCTTTTGTGCTAAGATCAACAGAGAAGTGGAACTGAAGGTACTATCTTCTGGAGTTTTACCTGCATTTTAAGAGGGAACACTGTTGTAGCAGAGTTAGCTGTCACCACATAAAACTGTGTCCCTAGCCTAACAGAGGTATGAGAAGCAAATTAGCTTCCTGTGATCGTTAAACACAAGAATATAAAAAACCTCAACCTACTGCTAGCACCAAAATGTCAGCATTTGCCTTTCCCCATAGACTTTTTTTGTATTTTTCAACACTTCGGGACACTGCTTGGCAACACTTCATTCAGCCAGCCACACAGCTGAATGTAAGCAAGGGGACACTAAAAAGCAAGAAACAACACTCCCTCCTCAATTTGCAAAATGTCACTTTTCCCATTAGCACACTGTACTTGACCCTTCTGGCTGGAGAGATGTCGATGGTTTTATTCAAAGCATCGTAGATGATTGTATAGAGACTGAACATAGGTGAAGACACACATGGGATCTGGCTTGTGACCCATCACCATCATGTCATCCACTTCTATCAGACGATCACAGTGAGCCATTTTCCTGAAGTAATAATAAAACAGATACCGCAAATCAAGAGTTAAATCTAAGGCCTGTAACTATTTCCAAGGTTCATCTGGTGCTCTGATTTGAGCATCACTGAGGCATTTAAGAAATCCTGAGGCTTATCAGCAAGATTTCATTTCACAATGAAATGGTCAAGCACATGTTGGAGGGTTTCATTTTTGTGACCATGGAATACTCCTATTCTTCCCCTCTCATCCTCTATACTGGGCTCTGATCCAAAGCCCTGTAGGTTTGTTGCTGGGTTTTTTTGGCTTGTTTTCTCTCCCACTGACTAGCATTCACAGCCCTGATATCTGTAGCATGTAGCCCAATCTCATAGTCTTCTGCCCAAGTTTAAAAAACAGGGTCACATGAGTTTGCAAATCATGAGTTTTTCTGGTTGTCATGCAGGAAGCTCCAAAAGAATGGGAAAACACAAGAAAAGATGAGATGTGCCAACAAAGGCCTGTGTGGATGTGAATTGTTTGTTCTTCACCACCCCACATCTTCAAGATGTGTGACTTGGGACAATAATCTCAGAAAATCTGAAGGGAGCAGAAGCCTGACCGAGATCCCAACCAGCAGAAAGGAACAGATCTGCTGAGACCTAAGATGAAAAATCACAAGGGCAAGAAGCAATGTGATTAGCAGAGCTTATACTGGGGTAGACAGCAATAACTGAGAGAAAAGCCTCTTCGGCACTAGAAGAGGCAATCGCAGTTATGAAGCAGTCATTTTTATAGGTACCCCTTACCTAATGTTTCTTATTGTTGCACACATGCTGTCTTCTGTTTGCTCCTATACCTACTGTTATACATCAACTGAGATAAAAAACCACTTCAGCTTTCCTTTGAGAATTGTAGATGGTTTTACTTCAGAGATGAACCACCTACAAGTGTTGTAGAATCTCTTTCGACTCACTGACGATCAACGCAACTTTTTATATATAGGTATACAGGTGTGTGTATTAAAACCTTGCAATTCACAGATGAATTCCTTTGCTAGGGGCTGTAATAAGAAGAGCCAACATTATGCCAAGAGTTTACAAAGCTTTGCTCTGGAATGGCAAGTGGCAAATCCAGTTTTGTAAATTATTGCTTTAATTTACAAAAAAAAAAATAAAATCATGCTAAAAGGACCCCAGAGCTTCAGTGTGGTGGTACCAGTGTTTGAAGGTGTATCAGAGGCTGCAGGACTTTTGTGTCGCAGCGGGGGACTGACACTGGAGCAGTTTCCCCTGAAAGACTGCACCTCAGACTACAAGGGGTGGGCTGCCCCTCGTGAGGTGTCTCACATTGGACAGTTTGTGATGAATTGCCCTTCATGAGATGACTCACATGGGAGAAGAGAGCGCGAAGCTTGTCTCCCATGAGAGGGACCCCACCATGGCCCTGGGGAAGTGAAGAGTCCTCCTCCGGAGTGAAGGAGTGGTGGAACCAAAGTGGTGGAAGTCGGCTGAACTGACTGTAACTCCCATTCCCTGTCCCCCTGCACCGCTCGGGGGGAGGAGGTGGATAAACCGGGATTGATGTCGAGCCTGGGAAGAAGGGAGGGATGGGGGAAGGTGTTTTTCTTTCCAGATCTGTTTGTTGGGGTTTTTTTATTCCTCACTACTCCTCTCTGATTTGTTCTCTTAATAAATTTAACTAATTTCCCCCAAGTCCAGTCTGTTTTGCCGGGGACGGTAAATGAAAGTGATCTCCCTGTCCTTATCTCAAACCTTGAGCCCTTTGATATATTGTCTCCCCCTGCCTAGCAAAGAAGGGGGAGTGAGAAAGCGGCTGAGTGGGCACCTGGCAGCTGGCCAGGGTCAAACCAGTACAACACTGCATCAAAAAGGATCAGAATGGGTTGACTGACAGTGTTAGTCCTGTCCACTTTAGAAAAATGCAGTTACCAGAATTATAGAATCATTTATTACTGGGTTGCAAGGGATCTCAAGCATCATCTAGTCTAACGCTTTAAGGTAAAGAAATACAGTTTAAATGAGATAGCCCAGCACCCTGTCAAGCTGAGCCTTAAAACTGTCTAAAGTTGAGGAATCCACCCCTTCTCTTGGAAGACTGTTTCAATGTCTAATTGCTCTCACGGTGAAAAATCTTCCTCTGGAATCCAACCGGAATCTCCCCAGGAGCAACTTGTATCCACTACCCCTTGTCTTTTCCATGTGACTCCTTGTAAAAGTTGAGATACTGAGAAGCTCTCGGTCTTGATCTAACTCTGCTTACACTGATTTCAATCTTCAGTCTCATTCAGCCAAAGCAATGTACAGACAGAGGTGAACTGTCTCACAAAACCCAACTGCCACAGTTAATCAACTTGGTCCCTGCCACTCAGGGGTCACATTTTCCCCAGAGAGGCTGTATGGATATATTAACATGCCTCAGATCCAAATCATGTATCAAACATCTGGGATTGGCTAAGAAACTACAAGTATGTCCAGTTCCTATGGACTGTCAGTAAACATTGGATGCCTTGTGGTCTACAAAATCAAATTTCTTTTTGTTGTGATTGCTATCAGAAAACTAATTAAGAATCATTAATAACTTCAAGACCAAAATAATTTAAAAACCCAAGCAAACAAAAAATCCCAAAATAAACCACAGGCAGAAGTAGGGTTCTCTCCAAGCATAATTCATGAGGCTGATTTCTCAAGCTTAGTGTGTCAGTGCTAATGCTGGTGAGAATCACAGAAAGGAGAATTCAAGTACTGCCTGAAGAGCGTGAAAGACCTGAATATAGGACTTCCAGGGAATTATCCTGTGCCTGGTAAAAGCACCTCTGGTTTTAGACTGCCAAGTCTCCTGCTCTATGTATTCTCTGTGCAGAAGTTTATTATCTTTTTTTGCATGACACATGCAATCTGGTGATAAGAAGAATGATAACATTTTGTGATTAAACTCTTCACTGCTGCCCAGCCACATTACACTCGAACTGGTAGCACCTCACAGACATCTGATGTGATACTCACTCAGCCATGGTGAAGGCCAGCTCAAAGTTCTGCTTGCGATTAGCTGGGTCAAGCTTATTATAATCAAAAGCTTCAGGAAAGAAAGAGTGCACGAGAGCACAGAATGCCATCCCATCGTTCCAGCTTGAGGAGAAGTTCTGGAGATCAATGTGCTGTCACGATGAAAAAAACACGCATGTTAATGCAGCATGAGGGAACAAGGAGGAGCAGTTGCTTTTGTTCACTGCAGTTTTCTGACCTTCTCTCCCCCTAACCAAAGCAACAGAGCAGAGGCTTTGTGTTTTTCTTCCCCTCTTATATATGGATTTTCGTATACCTATGAAATTTTCTGTGTTCTGAGAAAAAACAGCATGCTCAGCAATGAAAGTCTTTTGCCTGAAAAGCCCAGATGCAAAGCAGACACACAGTCAAGGTCCCTCTTCAAAAGCCCACTGAAAATCCTGGGAAGAATCTTGTCAACGCCAGTGAACTCTGGAGCAGGCCTGATGCCCCAGCTCAGTATCTGCAGAAACCGAGCAACACCGCTTATCCCTGTGAAGCATTCAGAATGGTTCATTTTCTGGCTATGAATAACACCAGATAAAGACTATGCTTGCTTGCTTCGCGTTTGAGTAAGGCGCAATTCAATGCCTGTTTACACACATATAGGTGGAAATATAGGAAGAAATTTAGGAAGAATTACACCTACTGCAAAACACAATGCCTAAAACAAATGCTTACAGTGACTTCGAACTGCCACAGTGAAAAGAAACGTATCTGGGCTCTTGTCTCATGCTGCTTTCCCATCATATAAAATTCAAGCCCTGGCTTGAATTGGTAAGCAAATAACAATAATTTTCACTAGTTCTGCTATAATGCGTCAATAATAATGCACATCTTACAATAATGTTGAAAAACATGTTACACACAAAAAAACCATAGTAAAACCAAAAATCTTTCTCCTGGAGATTGCTTTGGCAATTGCAGTTGAAGGCCAGGTAAAATTACTAAAATCTCAACTCCTAAATTCTTTTCGCTACACTGATGTTACCTCATAGAAATTACCTCACTAATGCCATGTGTTGTAACCTTAACCAGTTACTACAAATTCACTTGTCTAATATCAGTAGGGAGTACTTTGGTCTGCTGCGTAGCAAAAGGGCCAAAGTCTCCTCGTATTGGCAAAATGTTTTTCTGAACTTGACATATATAATGAGAATGCAAAAATCACAGCCTGCAACTAAGAAAAGTGTGAGCACACACTGAAGTCTATTCAGAAGCACAGAAATGTAAACTTTCAGACAAACACTAATGCATTGCTTTGACAGACATACAGCATCTCCCTCATGCAATCACTGACTGTCTCCATTGCTGCCCGTGCAAACTATAGCGTTTGCATTACCCACACAAACCTGATGACCTCGAGGAAGTTAAATCATTGTCTAGCATGTTTTACATTCACTTTTTGAGTATGTTTCTTTGGTGAATTCTCCTGAAAGAGAGAACACTGAAAGCGCTAGCATGTCTTCACCTTGTATCCTATGGTTTTTGAGCGACACCAGTCCAGCAGAATTTGTTTAATGCTGCTAGCACTGGCAACCCCAAAACTCTGCGACCTCTTCAGCTTAGCTCTGGATTCTCCTTTTCCTCTGGAAAATAAATAGACACCAAATTAAATTACATTCTAGAAAAACTTAAACCTACTTGTCACCAATATCTACGCAACTTGCCCAGATCACCCTGTCCAGGTGATATCTGAGAAACACGTTGCTGAAACTTCAACTTGTTGGTCCTGCAACAAAATATTTCACTAAAGCCAGGATTCCAACTCCTGTTCTATTTAAATCATACTGCATCACAGTGCATAAAGAACAGTTCATGCTTTTAGTCATTAATTAATGGCAACAGAAAGTCATTATATACCCAGTCTCTTATAATGACAGAGATTCTTTCCTGATACAAGGCACTTGCTTCTTCGGCTGAAGAACTCCAAAGCCAGAGGAACCTGTAGCTGTGAATTTCCAGGGCTCAGTGTGTGAAGTCAGTGAAGCTCTACATGACCTCGTTACTTAGCTCAAAATCCTACACAGAGAAAGTCCTCCCACCCGGCTGTCTTCTGCTGGTAATAATCAAGAAATTAGTTTCCCATTAACAAACCCGTTCTGTGACGTACTTTCCACCATCGTATTCAAATCTCTCGAAAAGTGCTTTCCTGGCCTGTGTTCCTGTAATCCGTGGGAGCGTCTGAGACCGCACCAGTTCTCTCCTCCTTTCAACCTGGCGATGCACAGTGGGAGGAGAGGAGGTAGAGCCAGGGGTCACATCGCAGTAACTCTCAGTGGCACTGGAGAAACATAACATGAAAAGTATGTGGTTAAGCGTAAAAGTAGTTTTCTGCAGTGCCAGGAGTCAGCATAAAGGTCTCAAAACAGTGGAATGAGTCAAAAGCAGTTTAAGTAAAAGTGGAAGTTTTATTGACAGAGAACAGCACTTAGGTCTAGAAGAGCCTAAGGTACTTTTACAAACAAGACACAGCTGGACAAGTCACAAACGCTTTGTAGCACTGAGTGGAACAGAAACTAAGCACTTTTAAGAAAAAGAAGAGAGGAAAAGAGAAAGGGGGAGGGAAGGGGAAGGAAAAAAAGGGAAAAGGGAGGGAAAAAAAAGGGAAAAGGTGGGGGCAAAAAGGGTAAAAAAAAAAGCTGTAGTCACACAGGAGCACTAAATTCCTTTAATTTTCAACTCTGGGCTTCCTGGAGGGTAAGTCACACTTTAAAAACGGCACCTGAGGAGTAAGGAGAGAAGGAAGTGCTTTTTAAATGTTTACTTTTAGTACACAAAATCCTCATCTCATGGCAGTGTTGCTTTGCTGCAAGCTGGTAATTTGATCAAGGACTCATAGAATCATAGAATGCTCGGGGTTGGAAGGGACCTCTAGAGATTATCTAGTCCAACTCCCCTGCAAGGCAGGATGACCCAGGGCAGCCACACTGGAACACATCCAGTCGGGTTTTGAAAGTCTCCAGGGAAGGAGATTCCACAACCTCTCCGGGCAGCTTGTTCCAGTGCTAAATATAATCATACATATACACACACACACACACACAAATATATATAAATATATTCCTATAAATATAGGATTATATTAAAATTTGTGTTTATTTCAGTCATAACTCACTTAATCAGCATGAATATCACATTTGGGAATGTTCCCCATGACAGAGATAGGGAAACTGTGGCAAAGGACAATGACATCGGAGGCACACATTAATTTCTGGTACACATAGCGGTCAAATCTGACAGCGATACTCTAGGCTGCTCAGTATATCATACTCAAATATTAAAGTGCTGATCTTGGAAAAAACTCTGAAAAAAATGTAATGCCAAAATTGTGAAAAATTTCAAGGCAGATGCAAGCCCAATTGAAGACATTTACATTGGCCACTCTCCCATTTTTCTTGATGGATATTTTGCATGCTGAGGATGCCTGGATATGCCAGTAATAATTGTGATACCATGTAATCCTATACTAAGCAACTGCAACTCTGAGTTAATCAAGAATGTGTAGTAGTCCTCACTCCTCAGCAAGGCTTTTATCTACAAACTAAACTCTAGACAAACCAAAGGAAGGATATTTGACAGCAGTCATACGTTGGTTTCCAAAAATAAGCCCAAAGTACAAATTTCAACACAGCTGAGTGTTCTTAAAAGTGTTTTCAAAGGGCCTGAGAGTTTGCTCCTCCTAACTAAAATCCATTGCTGGCACTGAGAGTTTTACGGACTAACACTGGAACAGTGCTGAAATCCACGGTTAAGCCTGCTTTAAACTGCTCTATGAAAGATTTTTATCCCATACCATCTCTGTTCCACTTAGTCCTCAGGAGAGCTCATAATAGCATCAAGGACTCACCTGTTCTCCAAGCCAGCAGAACACCCCTCCCCTGAGAGCCCACAGTGGCCTAACCAAATGTCAAGAAAAAGGCGTACCTTTCACCAGTTTCAGTTCCACTACTCATCTCACAGCTCACAGTGGAGACAGACTTAGTGACAGAAGTGGCATTCTCTGTAGAAAAGTAGGAAAACCAAGATGCATCAGGGCAGAAACTTTTGTCCTCTCCCCTCATACATTTTCAAACCATTTCCTGATAGACACATCCTGATACATCGATTTTTACTCGCCACAGTGAAAAGCTGCAGGCCACTGTCTAACTTCCAGTATGAGCTAACAAGCCTGGAAGGGATTTTCCTCAGGGGTTCAATACCTCTGCAAAATTGTTGCGCTGCATCAAATACACCAGAAAGGGCTGTGAGAGGATGCCTTTGACGAAACTGCATTGGGAAGGTTGGATCAGTTTGGGCCCTTATGTAGACCACAGAGGAGGGCACACTGCCATGGAAATTTCAGTGTAAGGAAGAAACTGTGCTACAGTTCAGCTTACAACAGCATTCTGGCAGACACTAGAAGTCCTGGGAAGTCTGCCATGATTGAGAACATAATTTAAAGTACCTAATTTCAACGAGGAAATGTTCTAGTTTGTAAATTCAAACAGAATCCAAAGGTTGTAAAGGTGGCTTAAAACTAACTTTGCCTCTTCCTCCTCCCACCCTCAAGGTTCTATCTACTGTGCTTTGTCTCTCAGAGCTCAGCTTTGGACTCCAGCTATACTCTGCAAATGAAGAACAACGGAGTGGCTTGCCCAGTTTTGACACACTAAAGCAAAACTTGCAACATAAGCCAGCAATTCATTTACTGAAAGTTCCTTCTATAAACAAAGAAGGACTGGCAGCTTGGAAGAAATACAGCCTGAATCACTGTTCTGAACTCTCCTCACTGCCTACAGAAGTGATCCGGATCAGCTGGACTTCTCACATAAAGCACTCTGGTAAATGCCAGCATGCAGATGTAACAAATTTGGGACCAGAAATAGTTGCCACGTATTTGTGCAAATCTCAGAGGTTATAAGATGAGAAGGAGCGTGATCCCTGTTCTGGATGAGCTACATCTCGAGATCACTGTGAAAAGTCAGTACATTGTGTACACAGTAAGTGACATCAATCAGAAGTACTTTTGGATAGAGCTCTGCCCATTTAATTCAACTGAAATCAAAAATCTTCAACACATTTTGTCCTTTGACACAATCATATATGAAGGAGACTACTTACTGCTATTCTGCTCAAGGGAATTTGCATCAACATCCATAGGGCAGGCCCACTGTTTTCCAAGGTAACTGCCGTTACCTTGCGTTCAGTCAGTTTTCACTCGGTCAGCTGCAACCTCCACCCCCTCAAACTGTCTATTCCGCCACACTCTTCTGGCACCTATTGATGGGTTTAAACTGGAACACAAGAGGTTCCACCTAAATTTGAGAAGAAACTTCTTCTCAGTAAGGGTAACAGAACACTGGCACAGGCTGCCCAGGGAGGTGGTGGAGCCTCCTTCTCTGGAGACATTCAAAACCCGCCTGGATGCCTTCCTGTGTAACATTGTCTAGGTGTTCCTGCTCCAGCGGGGGGATTGGACTAGATGATCTTTCGAGGTCCCTTCCAGTCCCTAACATTCTGTGATTCTGTGTGATTCCACTGCAGAGACTGCCTAACAGTACATCACTGTGGAAATAAGGATAACTACCCCTCGTTTTGAACCAACTGAGAATCTGATAGAGGTTTCCATGATATCTGGGAAAGGGAATCTGCATGCAGTCTTGTTAGCCATTGCCATGTACCTGATCACTGGAACTACATGCCCAATGAACATCCTAGACATAGAGCATGGAATCCCTCTCAACCCGTATTGCCTAAGGACACAATGATAGGAACACTCACCTCCAGTGGTAGACGGACCCCCTGCTCTCAGCATACTTGGATTCCAGGCCTTCCCTGAAAGAGCAGAAAAAAAGGACAAAGTTAGCTTTGTTACAATCTTACCTTTAGTAAGATAAAAGTTGAAAGGATAATCCATATGTCTTGCTGGCAATTCCATACGGTCTCTCTCCGTAATTTCTGACCCTTATATAGTGTGATCTGTACATGTCACTTTCACTACACACATATGAGACACAGCTGAAAGATCAATTACTTCAATATGAATGAAAAGAGATTTTTTAAAAACCTCAATTTATAAGAAATAAGATTCTGCAATCACTCTGACTTGTGTGTATGTTTCACTGTGCTGTTGGTCATTTCTCCCTTCAAATGACTGTTGAACCCATTAGCCAAATATCTGCCTGACTTCTCAAGGGGTCTCAGGTCTCAAATCACTAAAAGGTCCTGCAAATTTTATTAAAATAGCTGGCCACACTGAAGAGATACTTATTCAGTAACCGTGCTAGAAAAAGGCTGCACTACAAACTCAACTCAATTAGGCAGCAATCATTCCCAGCAGACGTGACCTTACAGCTTAAAGCTCCACCTAGGGCCCGCAGTATTTTAAGTCAGAGTGTCCCATCACAGGACATGTAGCCAGAGAAGCTAGGTGTCGTAATCACCAGTAGGTCACAGGATAATCTCCATAGCATCAGTCTCTTCAGGCAAAGAAATGGGACACAGATTCAGCAAACAAATTATTTTTGTCTTTTACCTGACTGGTTGGCAGTTTTCACTGCCATCTCATTTTTGCTCTTGCTCTGTCCCAGCAGGCCAGCAGATGAATTGGCTGTTTCAGCTGAACTGGTGGTCTCTCCTGAAAACTTCTCCGATATCCTAGTTACTGCAGTAACGGGAAGGTGTGGCATCTGTAAGGTGACTGCAGGGGCATGGGCTTCAGGGGAAGAGTCTGACATGTGAAAAGAAGGCAGTTCATGGGAGACTTTTGCCTGACCTAGTGAATAAGAAGAAAAGAAGAGAGGAAGTAAATGTATTTGCAGATTTGTGACAAAGTTACAAACCAATTTCCATGCAACAACTTTACAAGTTGTTAGAATCATTCACCTAATTCTCCCTGTGGGACATACACCATTTACAGCATGCTGCAGCCCTAGCATAAGTGACCTTTGCAGCAGTCATACCTGTCCTACATGAATCTTGGCAAAGACAGCTTCTTCAGTTCATTAGTCCACTAGCAACTGCATTTGGTAAGCAAATCCTCTTTCTCTGCACAGTCTCCGTCCCCATCTCCTGCCACACGTTAGGAGTCAGCATTCTTACTCTTCTCATGGCTTATGAAACACTGTGTGCCTCCATTTTCTCTAAAATGGGGATAGTAAGTCCTTCCTCCACTGAAGGATCATAGAAGCGGACAGGTAATCTGCAAAATGTTTTGGGATGCCACAATGGCACCCGGAATAGCAGGCCTTATTATCATAAGTGCCCCAAGATAGTCGCTAATTTATGAAACACCATAGTACACACCTAACAATAAAGTTAAAATTAAAAAGTTAAACTCCTAATTAGGAAATAAAGTTAAATGGTATCAGTGTGACAGCACAGTATCCATGCTAAAACCGTAGCAGATTCTAATGCTTCCAGTATGTGAGAGCTGCTCTACGATTGCCAGATCAGGTATTTCACAAGTAGTGCTACTTCATTTCATGCCCTGTTCCTACCTGATGAAGACAGATGCCCATTTTCAATGAGGGAAGAACTAAAAACTCTTCTAAACTGAGGTCTGTGGTGGTCATCCAGGTCTACACTCTGTCAGAACAGACAACAGACAGGGCAGCTGAATTTCAAACAGCAGCAAAAGTTACAAGAATATCGAGAAATACCTGCCAACAACAGGTCTTCCTTGTGTTAGTGATCACAACAGAGGAACGGAACAGTTATCTCACTCTAAGAGCAAGATCTGCAAACTGAGCACTGGGAACGCAGGACTTGTACCAGACTTCACATACTTGTCCTCACAGATCCCAGGCACTTAGGAGGCATCTTGCACTTTTGTTAGGTAAAGGTAACACTATCCACTGTGATGGCGATAAGCAGAAGACTCTGCAGAAGAGTGGAAAGATTGATTGAGACTGCATAACTGCCTAATGCTCTGCAGTTTTTTTTCTGTTTGCTGAAAAAAAAAAAAAGAAAAAACCCACATTTTGATAATGTATTGTAAAAGTATTACATGAAGTAAGTATGATCCTAGAACTTTACAGCTGCATTTTAATCTGCAACTTCTGTAAGGACAGGTTTTTCTGGGGAAAGCATCATTTTTTCCCCATAACGTTTGCTAATATAACTCCAGAAAAAAACAGCCAAGATTATATTTTCGTGGTCTTCTTTTGGTTCGTTCAGACCTGTGTGTGGGCATGCAAAAAAATCATGAGGAACTATATAGTTTTTGGCTGCAGGAACTAAAAATGGAGAAACTGCTTCATAGACACATGATTACTTCAATTAAAAAATGTAGTTTTCAAGAAGCAGCATATACAAGCAGTAGTTTGAAATTTCCCAACACAAAGTTTTAATTGATTCTAGATGGATACTTAACTATCAAACCATCCAAAAATTTTATTAATAAATATTAATTTTATTAATAAATAAACTAAAATCTTAAATGAGCCATTTAAAGCATAATATAAAATTCCTATAAACTCAATCCAAACAAGTTTTGTTTTTTTATTTTTAAAGACAGATAGAAAGACACTGAAGAAGATTTTATACTGCTGGTAAGTATAAAAACAACAGAACGCAACAAAAAAGGAAAGAGGCAGGGTGAATCCACGTGATCAGTTAATTCATCTCTGCTTTTCATACACAAAAAATATGGAGCAAACCGGTGGTTTGATTTTACTTAACTTTTTTCATAGCTTCATCACAAATTACGAGAATGATTTATGTGTAGGGTAGAAAAATCTGTCTCATGTAAAATACAGAAATCAAATGATTCATTCAAGAAAATCAACAAAAATATTTTCTTGGAACTTGTCTGCTGTTTGTCATACATCTGTGCACACTCATCTAAACTTCAGAACACCAGACAACATTAATGCACGCTGGAGATTTTTTAAAAGCGTTTAATCTCATTAGATGCTGCAGAGTGCATGGACTCTCTTAATACCCTTACTCGAGATACTAGAACTTTCATTACCTCCAGTACAAATCCTGTAATTACATTCTGAGATCTTGCTAAGAATTTCTTAACTACTGTTATATTACAGTAAGGCAGCCTAAACACAATTTTGTCACAGAATATACAGTTGTAGGCTTAGTTCTGTTCCTCCCAGACATTTAAGTGTCACTCTCCAACTGATTTCAACGGAATGCAGGTGTACGTAGGAGAATTTGGGCCATACACCTACACCACTAAAGTCAAGGGAAATCCTTTTGACTTTAAAGTTGGGCCTGACATTCTCAGGTCACAATTTGGTATCCAAGCTTTTTAAGACTACAGCATAATTTGGAGAAATCATTCAAGTATGGCAAAACTCCATTAACCTGACTTCAAGATGAGGACCTACTGCCTTGTGAGCAAGTCTGTTACATACATTTAGTACACTAAAACACAAGAAAGAACAGCAGCAAGACATTGAGATACTATGAACCACCAGCTTCGATGGTGTATTTTATTATACTGGGTTGTATACTATTTTTTAAGCTTGGGTCAGATTCTCATGTAAATTTTTTCCACACAAGGTGAGGAAAAGAGACAGGATCACCTGGATATGATTTTGAAATCAAACACTACAAAGTTCAGAACAAGACTGAAGAGTTCCCCAAAATATGAAAGATACACTTGCAGAAAAGAAGACTTTTAAAGATTTCTCAGCTAGGAGCTTTCATTTAATTCGTTGCCTGGTTTCTACACCAATGATCTTCCTGAAGTTATATATGCATTTACGTGCTCTACTGGATAAAAGCGCAGTTACATGAGAAGCCAACACAGTCCTAAGTCTGTATAGCACTCAAATGTATGAGAGGTTGCCTTAAAAAAACCCCAGCAAACCAAACAAAACCCAGCACCAACAAAACAACACAACAACAACCACCACTCGAACAACCAGCCACACTCAACACCATGTTTTAGCACAATGTTGCTTATAGCCCCAGTAACTGATGTCAAATGAAGGTACACCTAAGACAGCTTGGAATCAGAATGTCCATTCCATAACTAGGTCAGCCTACCGAGAGATACGCAAGTTCTACATATCAATCCATCATGAAGTTCAGTATATCAATCTGAACAAGAAGAACCTTTGCTTCACTTTAACTTTCCTCTTTCTTATTTAAAAAGAAAGCAAAATAAACCAGACTGAGGAAGTCGGAATGTTCAGAACTTCCCACTCTTTCTCAGCATCTAAAAGTGTCCTACAAGCAAAGGCACGGCAGTTTCGTTCTCTAGGTTCCACTGATTTTTGTGGGATCTCTCCAATTTAGGGCCCTCATTGTAGACAGGTTTTCAGAAAAGCTCGCATCCAAAGCTCACTCTTTAGTTACTCAGCTTAGGCCCAAAAGGAGTGGTGAGTTCTTCTGCAAAGCTGGTCTGCAAACCTTTTTCACAACACATCACCAGAAGAACAGCTTCTTTAAAACAACATTTGTGTCTCCTGATAATAAAATACATCTTTCATTTTTTACCATCTGCTGTCCCCACAGAGAATGCTTCCACGCACACACAGTCTTTCTTAATGCTGCTAAACTGGCTCCATGTCATTGAATGCAGAGCTTTTGATTTGTGAAAATACAATTATTTTGAAACTTCTGTTTCTGTCAAGAAGAAGGCACTGTGCATAAGCAAATTCAGTTGTCGCTAGCTGTGAGGATTAACTTGAGAAAAGCACACCAAATACTAATTATACAAATCAGAATCAGGGGTTTGTAACTTTTACTGCTTATTTCAGAGTAATTGAGATCCTAGTCAACAATTATTGCCCGTATCCAGAAATGAAGAGTAAAGCACAGCTAATGCAGCTTCTTGAATGTACCCATGGCATACAGGTTAGAACTGTTTGGCCATTCGTGCCAGCCATTATGACCTGAAGGTGTTGAACGCCTGTGCACACTGTAAACATGAACCCACTTTATAAGCTGGGGGGGTAGGGTCAAGCAAAACAGTCAAACGGGTGGTCACGGCAAAGATCATGTAGCATCCTACACCCTGAACTGACTTCCTAATGCAGTGACAGGTGCTGCATTAATTTATTTTATGCAAACCTCATTACTACATTTTGGTTAACAGTGCTGGGGAAGAAACCGATACCCAGCTGGAGAACAGGGAAGGCCCACGTGCCATCGGATTCTACCATGCATTTAGTAGCACGTAAACAGCAGAGGGACAGGTACCTGTATCTGCGCTTAATAATGAGAACTGTTCATTTGTGCAACTCTTGTAACAACAATATGATGAGGAACCAGTAAATTTGAAGAAAGTTAATGCTAATATTTTGCATGTCTTACTCTGAAATAATCTCTCTGCAGCTCAGAAGCCTCAGTGTAACACAGGGTGACAATACTTTTCATAGTTGTAGGGCTGCTGCAAAGCAAGTTCACTGCAAAAAATTTAGACCTTGGAGATCTGTAACTGGAAGCCGCTACAGAACATGCAAATATCATAACCCAGTAGCGAAAATCTCACACATTCAGAAAAAAGCAAGCACCAGATCATGAGACTAGGGGAAAAAAAAAAGGAGATACTATTTTTATTTCCCCTCTGTGACTCTAAGGTTCACATCTGTTATGTCTTCAAGCTTTTCCCTGCAACATGGTCAAATTGTAGAATAACAATGGACAAATGAGATTCTCTCAGATGAGAGAACTCAGTCATCCAGTCTTCCATAAAAGCACCAGTTATCAAAAGGATCACGACAAAACGCACTGGATCTGGAAACACTCTATCTGTGAGAGGTACCTCCATTTCCTGTTACGCGTGCTAGACGAAACCAACACTTGACTCTAGTGAACAGCAAAACCACCTCTGACTTCCACGAGACTTGACACTCTGTCCCTTGCATATAAAGAGATCGTTGATACATCACAAATAGGGAACAACCCCTTGCATATAAAGAGATCGTTGATACATCAAAAATGGGGAACGATGAAATTTATGAGGAAACACAAACAAGGCCTCCAAATGCCAGCAAGAACTGCACCACATTTACCCCTTAATTCTTCTGCTAGAGAGCCATTGCCCATCTGATAACACAAGAATTCTCCATCTGTAACTGACCCTGCAGGTTAAAGAAAGAGCCTTGAATGCCATGAACACAGCAGGAAACTTTTGCACATGATGTATTCACTGAACAAAACCAGTAGAATAGAGTGAGAAACAATTCTACCTTAGCAGCTTTGGCAGGTGCCCACAGCTGTGTTACTGTGAATTAAAACAAAACAAAAAGCAACAACAAAAGTAATCTAGATAAGGATCAAGGCAACCTTGGAATGCCACCATTCCAAAAGGATACTTGCAGGAAGCATAAGAGAATAACAAAGAAAGAAATGGAACCATCGGACCTACTTTGTCAAATATAGATATTGAACTGGTTTAGAATTATAGTATGTAATGCTCCATCCCTCAGTCCCCCTGCCGGAGAATTAGAGTAGGTAATGCGGCATCACTCAGTCTCCCTGCCGGTATAACCCAGGTGGTTTTGTCTCAGGCTGACCAACTGCTGGGTGCCATCAGTTCAGCAGAGAGAAAATCCAGCAGGTAGTAAGTGTTTAGATCTTCCCAGGTAGTTATAGCCAGCAATTTGCATCTCTGCTGC